TCTAGCCAAATTGTGTTAATCAGCTGGTGCATGCTCCTGACCAGCATCTGGCCACCAGTCTTGAATAGTTCGGCTGGTAACCCATCGGCTCCTGCTGCTTTGTTGTTCTTGAGCCGATTAATTGCTTTTATGACCTCATCTTGGCTAGGTGGTATACACTCTATACCATCATCTCTTATTGGTTCTGGGGTATCTGCTTCATCGCCACTATTTGATACAAGTAGCTTTTCGAAATGCTCCTTCCAGATTCTCAACACGCTGTATGTATCTGTCACCAGGTTTCCTTCTTCATCTCTACAGGAGGATGTGCCTGCACCAAAGCCTTCGGTTTGGTGTTTTACTCGTTGGTAAAATTTCCGGACTTCATTCTGACTCCTGTACATCTCGATTTGCTCACGCTCACGTTTTTCTTGTTCTTTCTTCTTTTTTCTGAAAATACGTTTCTCCTCTCTCCTTTTCTCCCGATAATTCTCCATCACGTTACGTGTTGCTACTGTCTGCAGGGTTGCCCTATACGCTGCGTTTTTCACATCAGTAGCATTACGACACTCCTGATCGTACCATGGGTTTCTTGGTGGTGGTTTTTGGTACCCAATTGTTCTTTTTGCTGCAGTTTGTAGGGAGTGGGCAATTCTTTGCCATTGTGCTTCTATACTATTATCGGGACAAGAAGTGCTTTCTTCAAGCAGATGGGTAAGTTGAGCGGAGTAGGCCTCGGCTACCTGTTGTGTTTGCAGCTTTTCGACGTCGAGTTTCCGTGTTGTATTAGATCGCACCTTTGCTGCAACATTAAGACGGGTGCGTACCTTGGCTGCCACAAGGTAATGGTCCGAATCGATATTCGCTCCTCGGATCGATCGGACGTCTAAAACACTGGATGAATGCCTTCCGTCTATCACAACATGATCAATTTGATTTCTCGTTACTTGATCAGGAGAAATCCAGGTGGCCTTGTGTATATCGAGATGCTTGAATCTGGTGCTGCTAACTACCATGTTTTTTGCTGCCGCGAAGTCAATCAACCTCATGCCGTTGTCGGATGTTTCTTCATGAAGGCTGAATTTACCGACGGTGGGGCCAAAGATATTTTCCCTTCCGATTTTTGCATTAAAATCTCCTAGCAGAATTTTAATGTCATGGCCAGGGCAACGGTCATATGCTGTTTCTAGGCGCTCGTAAAATATGTCTTTGGTCTGTTCGTCTTTATCTTCGGTCGGAGCATGGGCGCAAATTAGACTGATGTAAAAGAACTTCGCTTTTATACGGATTATAGCAATTCGCTCATCTACTGGAGTGAATCTGGAGACAAGGTCTTTTATTCTCCTGTTAACCATAAATCCGCAGCCAAATTCATGTCTCGTTTCATGGCAGCTATAATACAGGGCGTAATCGTCTGATTTACTTACGCCTGTCCCTTTCCATCGCATTTCCTGTAAGGCAATAATATCGGCTTTGTACTTCTTGAGTATATCCGCCAAAGCGAACACTCTATTTGACAAAAAAAATTTGACAAAAAAAATTTCTCTGCATCTGCCAGTGATTTAAATTGAATTTAAACTTCCTCTTTTTTTAGATATCCTTTTTTTTCTTTTGATGATGTTGCCATGACGTTATTACTTTTTTACAGAATAAAATCAAGTGGTAAATTGCCTGCTCTCCTTTGAATATTCGTCTTTTTTTTCTAAGTGGCTGGCTGCTCTAACCTGCAAAACTCTATAATTCGTTTATGGTAACTGCATTATTTGTTCGTACACTAACTCAAACTTTGTAGGACTCTCCACAGCTGTACTCATTCTCGCTCTCTCTCTCTCTCTTATTTTCTTTTTGCCTTCATTGAGAGTTATTTACATTTTTGTTGTAATGAGAGCAGAGACAAATGACTACGTCATAGATGTTGTGACCGCTGGACACCCTTCGTCCTTTTATTCACGTTGCCATGGTTACCATCATTTGCGAGTTTTTATTACTTTTTTTACTCCTTCCAATCCTTGTGCTGTCGTCGTTTCTGTAAAAGAGAGTAAGAGAACTTCGGCATACTGGCTCGTGTTATTATGGAGGACATCGATTAGAGTTCGTTGTATTGTTTGATGGCGCTTTTGTGGCGCCATTCTTTCCTAGGAGTTGTTCAATACTACTCCTTACCCACACTGACGCACACACAATTGGCCATAAGCAAAACAAAGTTCTCTATCTCTCTCACTTACGCGCCCTCACACACAAGGAGTGAGGAGAACAAGGAACTCTGCTATGTGGAAATGGTTTTTGGTGGGACTTATGAAACGAACTAGACCAAAAGTTGATACAACATTTTCCTTGAATTGTTGTAGTTGTTGTTGTTGAATCGACCCACCGTGTCATTGTAATCATGGTGTAAGCTCCTTATTTCTGCTTCCGTAGCTACTGGATGGTGACTCATTTTTATTCGGTTTTTCGTATTTGGTTCGTCGTTTTTTATTTACTTTGTTTGTGCAGACGACGATGGCGACGGCGGCACTAGTGGCACAGATAGTAGTTAGGAACACTTTTCCTCAGTGTGTTGTTCCGTTCCTTTCGTGTTGTTTATAACTCGCCACATTGAGTTTTCCACGGCAAAAAAGAAAAAAAACTATTAGCACAGATAATAAATTAAAGAAAAAAATAGAAAATAACCAAGACAAAGAGAGCGTCCCCAAGGACTTGAAGAAAGGAAGATAATTTGATTTGTTTCTTCAAACTTCTTTTGATTTGTGAGAGAGTATTTTTGTGTTACTTTTTTCTCCTCCGAAAAAAAAAACAAAGCAAAACTTCATTTGCTTTACTTAACTGTAACTGCCAACTAACCAACCAACTATCAGTGTTCTAAATTTTGTTGAAAAGTAAGTAAAAGTTATGTTTAAAAATTACTTAAAAAACACAAAAAAAAATAAATAACAATAAATGTGCATGTAAAAATATAGTTGAAATGTTTTTGATTAATTAATGTTGTTTTAAAAAGAATAGTGTGTTTAATTGTTAAATAGTTGTTGCGATTTTGCCTGTGATTGTGAATGTTTAATACAAAAAGAAAATGAAAATTATTACTTCATACGTTTGTGGAACCTAATTTTATGGCTTTTTGTTCCCAAGGGATATTAAAAAAAGAAAATAAATTATTTCGCATACATATATAGTTGTCATTCCAATAAAGCATAAAATATAATAAAATTTCGTACTTTTGGAAAATCAAATGAAAAATTTGTGTGTTGAAAAAACCTTTACGTAATATCTCCCTCCAATTTTTTTTTTTGTATTTGTTGGGGAGGGAGTTTTAAATTGTATTGGTGTAAACATCACCATCATCAACCAACATACATGTGGTGTGCTTTGCTGCATATGTATGTATGCGAATGACTAACTACTACTGAATATTGATTGTTTTTGACCACCATCGAACAACCAACCGTCCGTCCACACCATATTCATTTGCTGTTCGCATTCACATGAATCCTAGTCCAATTTGGTATTGTTTTGTTACTCTGCTGTGTGCCCCCACTGCTAAATTTCAGTATGAAGTGTATCCCCACCACACAGGAATGATTTACCGACAACCACATTGCTGTGGCTTTTCGAACTATGGTAATTTGTTTTGGAAAACAAAATATACACTAGACGATTGAATATTTTTTTCTTTAAAGAAAAGTAAAATATGTTTCAAATTAGAAGAATATCAAATTTTAGAACAAGAAATATAATAATTACCCTACTTGTCGAACTCTCTAAAATCGGTTCTCCCAGCTATCTAATAGATTATATAGATTTGACCTTATAATCATGTCATATATCTGGTTGAGAAATAAGTGATGATAGTGGTTTTATGTAACTCATATTAGATTTTATTTTCAAAATTGTTCACTTATACGTATAAATGTTGACATTACTTATACGTCACATGTACTCTATTTTTCATGTGAAATAGAGTTTTAGTATTGAATAGAATTGAACGATATTTTAAGTAAACGGCAAAAATATCTTGCCAAATAAATATTGAAGAAAACCTTAAGATTAATTTTTTCCACAGAAAAATATTCCTCAGGTTCCTGGAGGTTATTTTTTCTATAGAAAAAAATCCTCAGGTACATGATTATTATTTTTTCTACAGAAAAAAATTCCTCAGGTCCCTGAGGATTACTTTTCTCTATAGAAAAAATTCCATATAAAAATTCCTCAGTTCCATGAGGATAATTTTTTTTATAAAAAAATCCTCAGGTCAAGGAGAATTACTTTTTTCTATAGAAAAAAAATTCTCAGATCCTGAAAATTACGTTTTCTGTGAATATGATTTTTTCTTATAGTGTAAGTGACTAGCAATACCAATCATATAATACTACAATATAATTTAACTTTTCCATACAAAAAACTAACAACAACAGCAATAAAACTGCTAGTTATTCATATAATGACTATGTACAGGATCGCGTGAATGCGTGTCGATAGCAATTTGCGGTGCTATATTTAGAACGACAACAATAATGCAAGTGTGGTTACAATTTTTTCTACTTCTAATAACACAAAAAAAAAAACTTGATATACAATTCAGACTTTGTATAACAGTTTTACATAGTTTACAAGGTTTACATTACAATTTTAATATGCCACAAATACTGGGCAATTTAAAATGTAACAATTTCTTTAGTAGTAGTTCACTCTATAAAAAAAACTAATATAACATTTGATTTTCCAAAATTGGAACTCCATACAAAAACACATATACATTCTAAATCCAACAATTAAATCCTGTCGAAATGCTTTAAATAAAGGCAAGATATCCAAACGAAGAAAAATTTAAAATCAACTCATAAATATTCATAACTATACCGTTACTACACTCACACACATAAATATTTATATGCAAAATCCAAAAAAGAAAAAAATACGTTGTTCGCCGTTGTCATCATCATTTGTCAAATGGCAATGGTGATGTTATCTGACATGTACACTTTAACCAGTTCGATTCGATATTATTTGTTATTTTATTATTCTTTTTTTCTCCATTTTTTATCTTTTCGTTCTTTTTGTGCTTGCATGCTCATTTAAATCTATTTCAGAGACCGGGATAAAACGGGTAAGACACTCAACACCAAGATGCCATCAGCACCAGCACACACTGCCGAGGAGGCTCGTCTTCTGGGGTAAGATTTGAATGAATTCGAATAAGAACCAAACAATCCAATATGCATCAATTGCAAGCGATGAAAACCAATCTCAAGAACCCTTTAGTTTACTTATTTATTTTCTCTTAACTAATGCATTTTGCTTTGAGTTATAAGTATAACAATTCTTTAGAATATTTTATTTTTTAAAATACTAAAATAATAGCTTTTAGAACAAGCATATTTTGTTATGAAGATTTCGATTTTCTACTTACCAAAAATTAATACCCCTAACCAGCATAAAACAAACAAATACCCCTCACTACATACCCACAAACTCTAGAAGTGAACCATATTAGTGTAAACTATCATTAGATGTACTATATACATATATACTTTGTTCATATATAATTACTTATGTATAGATATTGTATAGCATATATCAATAGATTATTGTATTTTCAATTTTTTATTTATTTTTAGTTTTCTGTTATAATATTGTACATTGATTTATATTTTATAGATAGAATACCCGTTTAGTTTTTATAATATCGTTTTTTTATAAATTTCAAATCAACTCCATAAACCATATCTAGGACTCGGCCAAAAATCCAAACCCTTAGCAAATCAGCTGTACAAATTACAAATGTATATTAGGTTCCCCCAAACTATAACATATAGGAACCCTATTTTAATTCAATACGTATATCAGTCATAGTCACCAAGAAAAAAAAATACCCAAACTTTTCTACAAAAGTTTTAAACAAATTACAGAAAATACCTTTAAAACTACGTTCAAGTTTGTTTCCTTTTAAAACCAGATAAGACATTTATAAATATTTTACATATTTTTCTATTCTATTTCCATCTAAAATATCTTATATTAATCTTTATTTTTCCCCATCTTCTTTTGAATATTTAGAACCATGCCTGTTGATCCCATGGATGACATTGAGCTGCGCTCAGTTCAACTACAATTCCCACATGCCCGTGGGTCCATCATTGACTCTTGTGATCAGAGACGTGTTGCCACGGACAAGGGTGAAATTTTAGTAGCCATACAAGGTGATACATCGAAACCAGCTATTTTAACTTATCATGATTTGGGTTTGAACTGTAAGTTTTTTTATTTAAAATTTTTTAGTTGATCGTAATTTATGTTTTTTATATTTGTATTTTTAGATGCCACCAGTTTTGCTGGATTCTTCAATTACCCCTTGATGCGTGGTCTATTGGAAAACTTCTGTGTTTATCATGTTACTGCACCGGGTCAAGAGGAGGGTGCACCAACTTTGCCTGAAGAGTAAGTCATTTCTAAGAAATTCTCTCAATCACATAAAAAGACTATAGATTTTGCATGTATTTTATATGGAGTTATTACCCTGTAACTAATTTTTCCGATTGTCATAGATTTTGTAAAAAGGTCTTCTGTTTATAAAAGAGTAGCCACTTATGCCGTTTCCAAAAATCTGTTCTACAGATGGAAATTAAATCTGTTAAAACTTTGTTTGTCGTTGTTTGAAAGCCTTGTGTAAAGTAATTTCCACTCAGATGCCATATACAAATAGAAATCCAATAACGGATCTTCAATATGTAAGGCTCTTACATGTATCGTTTGTAAAAAGAATATCTTATAACAAGCCTCATGGCTCTTAGAAGGCTTTTATAGTTCTTCTGTACCTCGCCCACAAAACCTGTTAAAGTCTTGTGTAAAATGTTATCTTTTAAAACTTCTTTAAATGCTCGCACAACAGGTCTTCTATAAACAGACCTTTTACAGGACCCTTGTATATATACAGAATACATTTTACAAGTTTAATATATAAGAAGGGGATCTCTAAAGGTCCTCTGTAGACGGTAGTTCCATTGAAGGCTTGGTATAGTTGCAAGATAACTTACATGAATTGTATGTCTTCAAAAAATCCTTATAATGACCTTCTTTACTTTGTTCCATTCCTACGACCTTTTAAATCTATTATAGTATTCTTCAAGCATGCACTTTATAGGTCTGTTCTAGTTCATCTAGAAGTAGGCGTTCTTCCACTTGATGGTCTTTTAGAGGTATTTTATATATTGAAACCCTGGATCTTCTAAATAAATAACGATGTTTTAATGTTCATAATTATATAAACAATATTTTACCGATCTTTAGATAATAACGTTTGACATATTCCTTCTATAGATATAATTCTTTTTACATTCGATCTATAGATTTAAGAAAAAAAACTATTATCTTATATTACCAATAATCCACAGTCTATTCTATAGAGAGATATCATAAACAATTCACTAATTGTTTGTTATTTTAATTTAACTTTTTTACTTTAAAATTTTTTTATTTACCACAAATTTACCTAAAATAATAAATTTCGTATCCCTTTGTTTCTTTCTTTCATTCCCGTTACAGTTACATCTATCCAACCATGGATGAATTAGCCAATCAATTGTTATTTGTTTTATCCCAGTTTGGCTTGAAATCTGTCATCGGTTTTGGCATTGGCGCTGGCGCTAATATTTTGTGTCGTTTTGCCTTGGCACATCCCGATAAAGTTGGTGCAATGTGTCTTATCAATTGTGTATCAACTCAATCCGGTTGGATCGAATGGGGCTATCAGAGTTTTAATGCACGTTTTCTACGCACCAAAGGTATGACACAGGGTGTCATCGATTATTTAATGTGGCATCATTTCGGACGCAATCCGGAGGAACGTAATCATGATTTGGTACAAATGTATAAGCAACACTTTGAACGTGGTGTAAATCCCACCAATTTGGCTATGCTTATCAATTCGTATATACATCGTAATGATTTGAATATTGCTCGTACACCAACCGGTACCACAACAACAGAAACATCGGCCACCACATTGAAAATGCCTATTATGAATATAACAGGAGCATTGTCGCCACATGTCGATGATACCGTAACATTCAATGGCCGTTTGGATCCCACTAACTCGACTTGGATGAAGGTTTGACATTTCAAAATGAATTGAAAATCAACATAAAATAATATATTGTCATTCATTGTATAGATTTCGGATTGCGCCATGGTCTTGGAGGAACAACCAGCAAAATTGGCCGAAGCCTTTAGGCTTTTCTTACAAGGCGAAGGCTACGGTAAGTGTTAGACACGAAGTAAAAAAATGACACCCTAGAGTAGTGTGTCATTTTTTTTAATTAAAATCTTAAACCAAAATCGATAACTGTCGTATTCACACTACCACAAATTTATACAACAACAACCAAAAATATGAAACCAGAAATTTTATAATACTATATATAATCGACCAAATATATATTATCAACTCACGCAAAAATCGTTCGTACAAGCAATACAATAATATATCTCCTTTCAATAGTAAATACATTCATTTATTTTTAAAATACATATTCTCGTATATATGCATAATACGTTTATATACTATGTATATGCGCTGATTATACAAATAATCATTTTTTTCCTCATACATTTATTTAGAATACGTATATACATATTTACTCCAACCAACTACAATAATACTATGTCATATTCTCATTAGTCAAATATATTTATCAATCATTATAATTAGCTTTACAATTTATACAACATTCCACTAGAACAAAACAAACATACACCCATACATATATAGTATAAGGCAAATACACCATACTTCTTTGCATTTTTGTTACCATACAATAATATCGTCGTCTCGCTCCTTTGGCATCCACCACCCACCTCCATATATAATATTGTTTTTGGTTAGATGATTTTCTGTTCACTCTACTCCTCATTAGGCCTTGCTCCTATTGCACATGACAATTCAAATCGAACATGACAATGAATCAAATCGTGAACTAGAATAACAAAACGGAATCCTTTTAAATTTTTGTGTTTTGTCATTAAGGATGGGTTTTTGTATTTTTTTTAAATTTGAGTTTTTGCCCAAAACAAGAAAAATGCTTTCCAATACCATGTCAACATTTTTTGGCATAGTTTTCTAAATATGAAATATGATTTTTGTTACAAATTTCTGAGGTTATATTTGTTTTTGTTTTATTACAACGAACGAACGATTTTCCTTGACGATATACCACCCCACTATCTACATAACTAAGATATCCAAAATAAATTTAAATATGAAATAGCTTTAGCTTGTAAGCTTTCAATGTATTTGTAATTTTATTTATTATTTAGTTAGTACAATATATAGAAACTCGAATAATTGTTGTTTTGTTATCCTCTGTTATATCAAGTTAAAAAAACATCTTTAAAGACGGTGAACTGTTTTTCCATATATGTGAATCTAGCCCAAAGTGCCAATAGCATTTCCAAAGTAACTACACATAGGCTACTTCTTTTGTCCCAACTTTCTTATATAAGTCTAAATAACATATTCCCATTGAAGTCATAAAAACCCGAAAACTGTTTGTATTTGGATGCAAAGACGAACATTTTCTATAATTGAAAATGGATTGAGTCTTAAATTTAGCCATGGGAGGATACTTTTAAGTATGGATACCAGAGTCCATACTCTGCTCATAAAAGGTACAATAAAATCAATTTGTTATGGTAGACAAGAAGTTTAATTTTATCTTTAGAAAATGAAGTACTGTTTCCATAGGATGTTTCAGGGGGTTTCCCCAGATTTTTTCTATACATTTTATACTTGATATGGCATTGATACACCAACATTGTTAGTTATTTGTAATTCAGTATTAAACGAATAACATAAGACAAACTCAGAACACTTGTCCCCACACGCATACCTGTCATAATCTTCTAGTTAAATTTATAACAGAGCATTTGTTATTGTGGTTATATATCCAAAGAAAAATAGTATATATATGCAAAATTGTTTTATTGATTTTTTGTTTAATTAATTCTAAAGAAATATGTTAGGTCAAAATTATGTAAACAAATAAAAGAAAGCTTAATAATAAAAGAAAAAATAAAGTTATTTGATATATGCATAAAAACGAAACAAATTTTTTCAATATTTTATTTAAATTGGGAACAATATTTTATGATATTTTCTTTTACATTCAGTTTTTGAGGAAATTGACTTGTATATTTATTATTATTATTTTTTGATAACAACTGCATTCAAATATTTGTTTCGTATTTTAGCATGACATTGTTGTATTAGGCATGTTATTTTTATTTATTATAATCCTTTTTATATCTGTTTACCATTGCAAGGATCCCAAAGATTTTTTTGTACTTTTGGATATCTTAATTATTGAAAATATCTACTACACATATTTTAACACTAAAACACAGCCAACACAACACAACATCAACCATTACACACACACACAACAACTAAATAACAAAGAAAACGAAAGATTTCAACAACATTCAATAAATTACAAATTTCAAGTAATTTGGACCAAAAATATGTATTTTCTTTTCTTTTTCTCTTCTAAACAAACCAAATAAATCGAAAAAATATATATAAAATCAATAACAAAATCTCTATATATTCAAATCAACTACATTTAACATTCAATTCTATGAAATCATATTTAAAAAAACACACACACAAAATGCATACATGCTCGCCTCGCCCCCCATTAACTGCATCCTCATGAAAATCATCAAAATCACAATTTGCATTTTTATAATTTTCATAATTTTGATTTATGCGTTATTTTTTATTTAATAATAATTTGCATTTATTTTGTTTTTAATTCATTGTTAATATTTTTTGGTTGCCCTCTAAATTATAAAATGATTATACTCTTCCTCTTCTATGATATGATATTTGTGTAATTTAATTTTCTTTTAATTTTTGAACTAAACAAACAAATCGGTTTCTTTTCTATTCCAAAACAAACGAAAAAATCCAAATGAACAAACAAAAAATAATAATGTCTCAATTTAAATGTTGTGGTATGTATATATGAACCAAAATTGTATTTTGTTGTTCTAATTTTTCTTGTATTGAGTCGCGTTCTTTGTTCTTCTTTTTTGTTGAATTCCAATTCCAATTTTGTTCCCGTAATTCTCCTCCATATTTTATTTTTTGTTCTTCCTAATGTACAAATTGGCTTTATACTTTTTGTCGTCGGCAATGTGTAGATAAATCTCAGTAAAGCTTTCTTTGTGAATTGTTATTGAAAACAAAACTTCAAGATATTTCTTTAAGCAAAACTCTAAATGCTTGCTTAGGTGTAGTACTACATTAAAACAAAAACGAAGAACATAAATCCCAATCCAAATGCACTTTTATCAATGTTGTGTTCCTAATATCTGTAAAAAAAGACAACAACCCAAAAAAATGTCCTAAAAATAATTACCAAATAAAGCAGCATTCACATTCCAAAATTCATATATATAAAAAAAAGTGTGATTGTTTTTTTTCTATTTTATTGATATGTTTAGTAAAAGTATGTCAGAAAATAATTACCAAATAAAGCAGCATTCACATTCCAAAATTCATATATATAAAAAAAAGTGTGATTGTTTTTTTTCTATTTTATTGATATGTTTAGTAAAAGTATGTCAGAGTTCAAACTCTTATTTGGAAGATTTGTAATTATTTCAATGCAATGCAGTGCAGTTAAATCGTTTTGATACGAACAAGTATATGGACAATGAACCAAACATGTAATTTCTCTGTGCACCCACCTCTCCTGCAGCTGTTGCTAAATTTCCAACGGAGAATTCTCATACAAATCTACACAAAATAGGTTAATGTTTACAACATATATTTCCAGAGTTTATATTAAGGTTGTCATTCCGTTCGCAACACGTTGAAAACCCCGAAAAGTAATTATATTCTTGATTCGTATTTTCCAACCTAGAAAACTCCCTGTAGCAATTTTCTATGATATGGCCTCCCTATCAAGGTCCCGACCTATTTTTGGTAGATGGAATGGCCACCACAACATTGTGGAGCCTATAAAAAGTTACTTGTTTACCTTCCCATTTTCCAATCCATCAGTTATTGTAACAATTTGATTTGCGCATGAAAAGTTGAGGAATATGTATGTTGTAGCAATGCGGACCTCAGTTGTACAAGAAAAAGACGTCTTTGCTCACACTGTCCAAAATTGCAAAGGTTGTTGTGTTAGAGACCACCTGCACATTCATGGAGATCACATTTATGATAGAACCAAGTCTGACAAAATTATAGTCTCCTTATAGATGCAATCGAAAATTACCATGGGGAGTGCATTACTTTGTGATGTTGTGCAATTTCCTCTACAGTAAATATTGTGTTTCCATTTGAAGTAATTTGCGTTCCAACGCAGTTTCACATAGAAAAGATTTAAGCTTACCAATTGATTTTTTAAATATATCGTATGTAAGATTATTTAAAGAGTTTTTTATGTATAATAATAATATTTTTTGTACTCATTGTAGCTTTATTTAATTGCAATATTCCTTTATGGCTTCTAAATGTCTCTCTGCATATATTGTTAATATTGATAATAATTACTATAAACAAAGAAACTTAGTATTAGACTAATAAATATATTTTTATAGTTAAACTAATTTTGTATATCCTTTATTTTTGGTATTGCTTTGAGGTTTATCACTTTATTTTATTATTATTATTATTTTTATTCACTTTTAAAGCACTTTATGTGTGTCTGTTGACTGTAGTACAATTTCTCAATTTATATAATGAATGCTGTTGAAATGAGTACACTTTTTTATATATAAAATAATTTGCAAATTTCATTTTTGTTATTATTATTTTTTTAATATTTTATAATTTGTTGATTTATTTTTGTTTTGTTCATTTTTTATGTTTTTTTCTTATATACAACCAACCGAAAACTGAATGAATTCGTATTGAATTTGCAAATGGCGCATTCCATAGCTGTCGGTAAACTGCAAAAGCTGGGACGAAAAATGTCAACGGTAAGCCAGAGTAATTCAACACATGTCGAATTGAGCGTGCAGTAGAACACAAAGAAGTGTGAAGTGAAAGACCACCACCACCTGAACCTTTTCTCCCCCCACAACCCCCAAAACAAATGAATTGCTTATAAATGGAGCCGAAGGTTAATACTAATTACATGAATGCCTTGTCAAAGGGGAAAAAATTACAGTTAAAAAATAAGCTTTTACATTTAAGTTAAATATAACAACAATTACAAAAACAAAAAGATATGAAGAAAAAAACTCCCAACAAAAATGAAAAACTAGTGTAATATAATTCATTTAGCTTTATTTTTTTTATTAAAATTTTTTGTTATATTTTTATTTTTTATCGGTTTAATTTTTTTAATGCTTTTATAAATATATTTTTTTGTTATTACATTTTGTGTATTATTTATAAATTATTTCCATTTTGTATTTGTTAAGTGTTTGAAAGAAAATTTAAATGAATTATAAACTGTATGTGTCTTGTAAATCAGCACAGGCTTTAAGAATGTATTTTTTTATTTTTGTTAATTTCTTATCTTTTCTTATGTTAAGTATTACATTTATTATGTTAAGTTTTCTTTTCGTTTGATTTCATTATCTTCTCTACAAATAATTGTTAACACAAAATTGCATTTTGTCAGAAGCCTACATTATTTATTATAAATATTTACATACATTACATAATAATATAATGATTATAGAGCTCTGTATACATACAACATATTATTAATAATATAAATACCTATATTAAAAAAAACAACAACAACATAAAAATCATGAAAAAATAAGAAAAAATATAAATAATAAAAAATAATAATTTTGTTTAAACTTATATGGACATTTATTGAAAAACGAAGAAGAACATTTTTTAAACATAAATTTGGTTTATCGGTCTATTTTTATAACCCTCCACCAGACAAGGGGCTGATTAGTGGAAGATACTTTTGTATGTATTGTTCAAAGATGTTTATTCAAAATTCAAAATGAATATTATTAAATATTGTGTAAAATATTTTGTATATTGGTAGAAAAAATCATCAACGTTGTAGGGTATTGTATTTGTTCATTTGCCTGTACGACGCAAAAAGAAACAATACAGAATAATAGCTAGTATGCGTATATAATTATAATAACTTTCGGGTTTCCAGTATGTCCGTCCGTGCGTCTGACATTGAGTTTGTGCAATAAAATATAAATATATTTTGAATCTCACATTTTCTTAGATTCTACATATTCCTAGTAGAAAGTTCTTATGTAGACTTAATGGGTCATTAGTATTAACAATTTGGAAAAATATTTTAAATTTAATGATTTCTTTTTTTAACTCTAGGAAATACAATGGACAAGGAAGGTAGTGTAGTACAACCATGGGTAGCTGATTGATGATTTGTTTGGTGGAGGGCTTAATTTTGCATATTATTTTTTACAAAATGTATTGTGTTTCAAATCAAAGCAAATATATGCGGTTTTAAGGCACTTTGTATTTAACAAAAACGCTTTTTTGCAAACCTAATATTATAAATATAATCATATTGAAAACAATTGTTAATGGCTGGCTGTTTGCTCGCTCGTAAATTGTTTTGTTTGTTACATATATTCAAAGCTCATTTTCGAAGCATAATAATCATTGAAAATAAACGCTTCTTCTATTTATTCGTAATCGTTTTAATTAAACCTCCCTTCAAACTCCATCAAATCATTTGTAACATTAAACGCCACCACAACAACTACAACCAACATCATTGACAATTCAAATCATTTGGCACTCTCAAAAGAAACAAAAAATCATTCCACTTCAAACATTTTCTAATTAAATAAAATAATAAATGAAATAAACAACTAAAACCAAAAGAACCAGAAAAAAAACAATAAAAAACGAGAAAAGAAATATTACAGAAACAGTACAGATTTGAGAACAACATTTACACACATACAACAAACCACCACAACACATTATACACCCCAGACACAACGACATCAATATTGATTTGAATTAATAATTTACACACTAAAACACTAAATAAAAATAAAACATAACAAATCAAAAAACAAAACAAAACCAATCTCCAGATCAAGTTTCGTAATAACAAAAGCAAATACTACTACTACTATCCCTCCCAAAAATACAACAACAACAACCAACTGCAAATATAAATCGAAATGAAACAACCAACTGAAAATGTGGAATCCTTGGACGACGGACTCTCATCACTTTGGATATTTTCGATGTCGTTTAAATAATAAATCAAAATTGGGCATGTAACAATAACCATCTCAGCTACTCCACTTTCCACGCCGGCCTCATCACCATGCGGTACCAAATATCTGTCCTATTCCAATATATTCTTTGCCAATTTCAAAGAGGAACACGAACGCATCTTGGCCGAGAAACTCAAGCAACAGCCGCCACCAACACGTATACGCACCAATACCCGGCTGTGTCGTGAAACGGCCATCAATAACAACAATGAAAGTTCGGCTGCAGATGCGGCACAGGATTCAAACAATGGCAATGAAACTGCCACATCTGCAACAGCGTTCGATTGCAATAATCCCGACATCTTGGAAAATCTCAATGAAGAAGAATGTTCGCTGAAAAAACATGCCATCAAGGGCAGCACAAATCAAATTACCACTCAAGTCCATACTGGTCAATCGAAAAAGATTCGCATTACCGAAAATCCACTGCCTGAACCTGTTAGCTGTTAAACACAACAGCGTAACAAGGTTACTAGAAACATAAACCAACCAACAACAACAAAAAGAAAAAAATGCCCTTTTTGACCATCATTCCTTAGAACGCGTTTTGTGGCAAGGTGTTAAAAGAGTGATTGGCAGACGAAGAGGAAAACTTAAATCGAAACTAGTTTTTGTTTCATTTAACTTCATTTTTTAGATGAGTATACACCACCACCACCTAAGCATCATAACTAACACCTGCAACCAGCCTACGTTTCAAAAACCAGAAGAGGAAGATATCAGAAACCCAGAACTTATTGCGTTAATATCTTCAAGTTTTTTGGCATTAAATATTCGACACCCAAACGCTATAAGGAATTTTTCAAATCACATCATTTTTTTATTCCTTGTTACCAGCAGCGAAATCATCACACCCCGCCCCCACTTTTTACTAGAGCATACGTTAAATGAACCGAAGTATACCGAACAAAAAGAACAACAACAGCAAACTAGTAATTGATTTAAATTAAATATATAAAAATATTTGTAGTTGTCCAAAAAAAAAGAAAACAAAAAACATTCCTAGAAATTTGTTTTAGATAGAGTTTAAGCGGATTTGTAGATTCATGACATTTCATGTATGGGTACAGATTCATTAACAATGTAATGTAGATCATTCTACCTTTTACTGCCATATTTTCTTCATGGCTGATTAAATTAAAAAAAAAACAGCTTTGTTGAAATTGACGAATTTTTAAATTAGATTACATTTTTTATTGTATTTCTTTCAAAAAAAAATATTTTTTTGGCGATATACCGAAGTCACAATTTAAATACCACTCTCTGGTGTAAGATATTGCTTGTTCGCTTGTGCAGAAATTCTATTCATCGGGTTAATTCCAATTTGGTAAATGAGTTTCAACATTGTCTGAATTTCGGGGTAGTCCTCTGCATTCTGATATTTATTCACATTTTCAAACTATTTGGAATTTGGTATTCAAATTAACCATAACCTAGAGGAACATTTAAAAATTACTGGATTAAAAAACTGAAGAATGTGGGGTTAAAGAACCAACAAAATCTATGGAAGATATGGGAACCGAATATACATTTAACATACATATATTTTCACCCGAGATTGTATGTGACACTATATTCATTGTTCATGTCTTTTGATCTGTGCCCAAAGATTGAAAGAATATAAATACTAACCTATATTAAAGAAAATTCTGTAGTGAACCCTCCCTTCAATATCCCAACGTTTTATGTCATTTTTTTAAATGTAAAAGTAATGTTCAAAATTTAGGAATTCTTAAAAGAAATTATTTCTCCTTTTTCCAACTCAAATCACTTTTTAGTTAGAGTTATCTAGAAGACCGTATAATTAAAAATTAAAAAAATCGAAATCTAAATAGGCTAACAGTTTTAAATTGTCCAAACTAATTTTTAATCAAAAAAATTGAAATTAGGATAAAATTGATAAATCTCAAATTAGATGGAAACAAATAGAAAAATCTCAAATAAATAATAAATGATGAAATAAAAAGAAAAACAAAAAATGAATTATGCCGCTAAAAATAATAACAAAATCAAATGGCAAAAGGCTAGCTAAATATAGCTTAAATAAAAATGGTTCTATTGCGGACAAGAAAAACAAAATCATATAGGCATATAAAATATTAGAAAATTTGGTAAAAAATCATAACGAAAGAATTGTTAAAATTTTTATTTCAATTTTTGTTTCACTTTGTGCCTGAAAAACACACACAAATTTTTTAAAACTTAAAAAAATAAAATAAAAGAAAATCCAAACCAAAAAAATATGAAGCTAACCCACAAAAATAAATTTATTAAAACAATACCAACAACACACACAAAACAGCGAGCTTTCATAACTATTATTATGATTATTATTAATTAAACTAAATGAAAAAAAAATAATTATTGTTGTTATTATTGATAAATGTATTCTAAGATGGAATGGAACACCGATAAACATTTATTTGTTTGAGCTTACAAAAATAAAATTGAAAAAAGAAGAAAATGTTGAAAATTAGAGGAAGAACAACCCGCGGAGGATTATTGAAGGCGCTTTAAAATTATGTATTTTGTAATTTCATTTCTAAAATAGTAACAAAAATGTAATAAAATACGATTGTCGATCACCTTTACGAGTAATTTGAATATATAATTTAATATGTGTAAAACAAATACGATGTTGAAGTATTACCTATTTATATACTACATACAATGTAATATTTTCGACCGAAATCAGCTGTTGTATCTGGATTTGAAATAATATTGAGGACCAATATTTATTTAAATATTTCAAAGATATTTAAAAAAAGCCGTCAAATGACGGGAATTGGGAAAGTGTGTTTTGATTGGTAATCCAAAA